GGGTTTGAACCGCCAGCCTTCTGGTTAGCAGTCAAGTGCCTGAGGCACTATGCTACCAGAGCGCCCTCAGAATGTATTAGGACTTGGTTTCTAATGCCCATAGCACTTATCACCCTATACAATACTCTTATCACATTTGACCCCAACTAGCTTGATGCAAAGGAGCCCTGATGGCACACTGGTTAAGTGTTTGGCTGCTACTTGAAAGGTTGGCAGTTCAAACTCTCCAGTTACTCTGCAGAAGAAAGATGTGGCAGTCAGCTTCTATAAAGATTACTGCCTATGGGGCAGTTCTCCTCTCTCCTATAGAGTCACTGTGAATTCGAATCAATTTGATGGCAATGGGTTAATTATCTTGTTGCAAGATCTTTGAGATTAGGGCTGTCTCGTTTGACTTTTTATTTTTCTTGATACGTAGCATAATAACAGGTGCCCAATGTTTTAAAAGGAGTCCTTGGATGGGGCAAATGGTGAAGTGCTCTGCTGCTAACTAAAAAGTGGGAGGTTCTAACCAGCCCAGACACACCTTAGAAGAAAGGTCTGGAGAGTCCTTCTGAAGTCTATGGGATGCAGGTCTGCTTTGTAACACATGAGGGCACCCTGTGTGGTCACTGCAGGTCCACCTGTAACACATGAGGTCACCTAGTGTGGTCACTTGATGGCAACTTGTTTGTTTTGGGTTTTAATGTTTTATAGATTAATGAAGTTGTTTTTTGGTACAGTTTGTCTTTTAATCTTAAGTAATATCCTTTTAAAACCAAAAGGCAATTTTCTCCTCAATAGGTGGCTTAGAACTGATTCACATGGAGCTGCATTATTTATATACACAAGGTTTAGGATGTGTCGATTGTTGCCTTCCAGTTGGTTCTGAATCATAGCAGCCCCCTGCGTGCAGAGTAGAACTGCTCCGTAGGATTTTCAAGGCTGTGACTTTTCAGAAGCAGATAGCCAGAATTGTCTTCTGAGGTACTTCTGAGTGAATTCAAATTACCAACTTTTTGACTAGTTTAGGGTAGTGATTCTTAAGCCTTTTTTGAATCATAAACCCCTGTGAGAATCTAAGGAAAATGGCTCTCCCTTAGAGATATCAAGTTAAGAATTCTTGGTTTGGAGAAATGGTGAGAATAGCCTTTCTTTGTGGTCCACCAGGCTCCTTTTTCTATCTGCTCCCAGATACCCTCAAGCAGTGGTCCACCCACTGTTGGGGTATCAGTTGTGTCTCTTAGGCAAAGACCACATGACTTTCAGAACCTTTATTCATTATCTGCTTGCTGGGTTCCTTTGCTATGGTCCCTGATTACCCAAACATCTTTACCTGTTTGTTCTGGTTACCTAGTGCCACTCTGACAGGAATATACCACAAATGGGATGGCTTGAACAAACAGGAGTTTATGCTTATAATTTGGAGGCTTTAAGTCCAAGTTCAAAGTGCTCTAGGGGCTGGGTGAAAGCCCCTCAACCTTGGACTTCAGCTCTGCCTCTTGCTCCTGGCCCACTGAAACTAGAGGCATCTCTTCACTCAGGCAGCTACTGGTTGCGGAGGCCAACAAGCCCAAGGTCGACAAATAAAATGGCAGTCCCGATGTCACCAAACCACACAGCAGGCCATTAGTTCAAGTCCATTGTAAGTCCCAAGGTCGGCAGAGCATGGCAGGCTGCTGAACAACGACACAGCTACATGCAGGGTTCAAGCGTGCCATAAGCTAGAGACCATTCCCAAAGCTGCTTCTTGTATATGGGACGTAGACCACATAACCAAAGCACCTACTCAGCTGCTTGTGGTAGATCCCACCATGGAGCTGATTGCCAGTCTCATCATGAGGAATAACTACCACCAGCTGCCTGGCCACTCAATGAGACCTAGCCAAGTTGACACACAAACTTAACCACTACACTGTTGTTTGTGGGACTTTTTGGAGTCACCTGCCCTACTTCAGTGGATGTATCTAGTTCAACCCTTCCCATTGTGACTTCTTATTGCTCAAGCTGACAAACAGCTCTCTATTTTCCTTTTTGGCTTGGCCAAGAAGATACAATAACAGAGGACTTGGAGACAGATCAGATGAAGGGCCTCTTCTTGTTGTTGACAGTGAGGTATCTCCCCCACCCCCCCAAAAAAGATAAAACACATGAATATTTGAAAGAACCTACCCCATCGCTTCAGTAACTTTGGTCTTTGTATCTTCTTGGGATGTTTCTGGAGAAGCATTTCCATTTGGAAGAAATCTTTGTATTTCAGAGAAAAAGACTAATTTTGGCTTATCCAACTGTGGGTAGTAAAGAGGAACTATGTGATGCATTGTCTCAGAGTCACCTGTAGCATACAAAGAATTAAGAGCATTCTGCTTTGAAACTAATAACTAAATTGTGGAAATGACATATCACAGTATTAAAATACCTACAATATATTTTATGAAATAGAATTAAATAAAGCTAAACAGATCCTCAACACTAAAGTTACTATCCAAGATAAGATACCATAGTTTCACTAAAAACCTATACAGGAAAGTTTATAGTAAACTCTCCTAGACAAAATGGGTATGCCAACACTGATATAATAACGGCCCTAGCATTTTGCTGTTCTGAGTCAATTTATTTTTTCAAAGTATTTAACTTTTAGGACACAGATGAGTCATCTTTAATTTATGGAATATGCTCTTACCTTTATTTTGGCACTTAAACAAAACAAAACAAAAAAACCCAAAGCACATTGCCATCAAGTGCGTTCTGACTCACAGCAACCCCGTTGGGTTTCCAAGGCTATAAATCTACAGAAGACTGCCTCTTCTTTCTTCCATGGAGCGACTGGTGAATTTGAGCCACCACCCTTTTGGTTAGTAGCCAAATGCCTTAACCACTACACTAAATAGCTCCTTTGGCACTTAACATTCCTTGCCACTTACCTGTTTACAGATCCTCCTTCCTTTCTAGAAAAGACTTCCTTTTGAGAGGGGACCGTCTTGTTCAACTCTAATTCCCAGTGCCTAGTACAGACCTGAGCATATCCATGGTACTCAATAAATGTTTATCAAATGAGTAAATGAAGGTTTCCATGTTGTTGTTGTTAGGTGCCATAGAGTCGTCTCTGACTCATAGCGACCTTATGCATGGCAGAATGAAACACTGCCCGGTCCCGCGCCAACTCCACAATCCTTGCTATACTTGAGCCCAAGTATATGTTTCCATAAAAGCACTAAAGAAATAAATGCTAAAGGATATGCATATAGTGTGAGTTTTGTTTAAGTGTTTGATTATGTTTCCAAATTTCAATTACACAGTTACATAGCTATATTTAGGACAAGATTTTTTATTATAAGATCCTTGAAGTCAGAGGTCATAATCCCCATGCTTTTACCATAATCCCCAAACCATGAGGCTATCAGAAATATGTAAAATATGTTTTAAAAAAATGTACAAGGTTTGGAAGTGCAAAAATTACTCTCTTCCTAAGAATTCCTGTTCACTTACAATGTATTTGGTTGTACAGAGTTGCCTTCAAAAGATTCATTTTAGTGTTTTGAAAGATATGAAAAGCATATTATAGATTTTTTAAATAGACAGTACATCTCTAGATTTTAATTCGCATTTTCCTTTTTAGTTAAAGCAGTAATAAAAGACCCTTGGCGTAAAGATCATATAGTACGTTATTAGCTACACAGTTAAGACTAGAATTTTTGAGCATTGCATACACACATCCAGAAATGGTACTGGTTGTAAGCCTGAGAGGCTCAGATCTATAACTTTTGTTTGGATAGAGTTGACAAACATAGCAAGGGAGTACCCACAACTAGTCAAGGGAGAATAATTAGTGTCTTAGTTATCTAGTGCTGCTATAGCAGAAATACCACAAGTGGGTAGCTTTAACAAATAGAAATTTATGTTCTCATGGTTTAGGAGGTTGGAAGTCCAAATCTGGGACCCCGCTCTAGGCTTTCTCTCTCTGTCAGCTCTGGAGAGGGTCCTTGTCTCTTCTGTTTCTGTTTCCGGGCTCCTTGGAGATCTCCAAATGGTTTGGCATCTTTCTTCTGCCATCTCTGCTTGCTTAATCTGCTCCTTTTATATTTTGTAAAAGATTAATTCAAGACATACCCTACACTAATCCTGCCTCATTTAACATAACATAGACAACCCAGTCTCAACTGGAATTATAGCCACAGGGATACAGGTTAGGATTTAAAACATATTTTGGAGGGACACAATTCAATTTGTAACAAGTAGGTATTCCTGAGAAAAACTCAGATAACTTTCTGCTGCAGCTAATTTTAAATTTTATTTTAATTTAACTCATCTTAGGGTTCATCTTTTATTACACAGTGAAACCTGTGAGAGTTGGAACTCAACTGGACTGCCTTATTTTTCTGGGTCTCACAAATTTTCCACTTTTGACAAGGTGGAGTCTTACCACTTTTCTATCACTTGTTTTAGTGGAAAGTATTTGAGTTACCCTTCCGACAGGTTTCTGCCTTACAGAGATTCCAGCTTTCCCAGGTGTTGCTGTAGTAATTTATATAATATTTTATATTTGAATTATTGCTGTTTAGGAGCCATTGAGGCAGCCTGGACTCATAATGACCTAATGTACAACAGAAGAAAACATTACTTGGTCCTGTGCCATCCTCACAATAATTGCTATGTTTGAGCCCATGTTGCAGTCATTATTTAAGTCCATCTCACTGAGGGTCTTCCTCTTTTCAATGACCCTCTACTTTACCAAGCATGATGTCTTTTTCCTGCAACTGGTCTTTCCTGATGACATGTCCAAAGTCTTGCCATCCACACTTCTAAGGGGCATTCTGGCTGCATTTCGTCCAACAAACAGGCTTGTTTGTTCTTCTGACACTCCACAGTACATTCAATATTCTTCGCCAACATCTCAATTCGAATGAGTCAATTCTTCTTCAGTCTTCTTTTTTCATTTTCCAGCTTTTGCATGTATATGAGGCAATAAAAAATACTATGGCTTGGTCATGTGCACCTTAGACATCAAAGTGACATCTTTGTTTTTTAGCACTTTAAAAAAGTCTTTTGCAGCAGATTTGCCCAATGCAATATGTTGTTTGATTTCTTGCCTGCTATTTCTGTGGGCACTGATTGTTGATCTAAGAAGAATGAAACCCTCAATTTCTTCACCACTAATCATGATGTTCTTTGTTGCAGCAGTTGTAAGGATTTTTTTTTTTTTTTTTTATGTTGAGGTGTAACTCCTTTTGAAGGCTGTAGCCTTTGATCTTCATCAGTAAGTACTTCAAGTCTTCTTCACTTTCAGCAAGCAAAGTTGTGTCATCTGCATATCTCAGGTTGTTAATGAGTCTTCTTCAAATCCTGATGCCATGTTCTTCTTAGTATAGTCCAGCTCTTCAGGTTATTTGTTCAGCATATAGATGAAAAATTAAGTTTAAAGAATACAACTCTGTTGCACATTTTCTAAAATGTCAATTTTCTTTCTTAATAAATTATCCTACATTTTTTCCCTAGGTCTTTTTTACTTACAAAAAAATATTTATTTCCATATCACATTTTTACACATCTGCAGATTTTTCTAAGTTCCCACTAAACCAAAGTGAATTTCTAAGAAAAGCAGACATTATTGTCTTTATTAAAAACAAACAAGCAAAGATGGAGAAATAGGCAGACAAGCGACACGGATCCTCTTCAACAAAGAAAATAAAAAACAATTGACAGATACAGAAGATAATCCTGGAGCCCTGAGCTTTGAAAGGAAGTATACAGAAGTGGATTAGGCCCCAACTAGTAGAAAAACCTAAACGGAAACAGTGAGTACAGAAACAGTTGAAGCTGCAGACTGTCAGCTACTCTGACGGGACAGACAGCCTGAATTATTCCAAGTGGTGTTGGGACCTGAGAATTGACCTAAAGATCAGCCCTGTTCACCAAAGGCTGCAGGGACAACTGCTCTTGTGGGCTATGACTAGGAAGGGAAACAACAAGGAGGGAGACAACCTGAGCTGTTGACTTTCCGCTGTCTGAAGGATGCAGCCATTTTGATTGTTTATGAGTGGCAGCCATTTTAGATACTTAAAGTGAATGAGGGTGCAGTCATTATGAATGTTTACAAGTGGTGGCCATTTTGGATACTTAAAGTGACTGAGGGTACAGCCATTTTTGAAACTTTACACATGGGAACCATTTTGGATTTTAAAGTGATAGCATTCTCATTCGGATTCCAGGGACCTAAGAATAGGCTCTGTTTGCCAAGGTCGGCAGGGACATATGAGCGCCTGACAACAGGAAAGCAGACAGGTGGTGAGTGTATAAGTGCTGTCAACTACTGAATAGAGGAGCACAGTACCCTGCTTGTGTAGATAACATACAAAA